CACCCCTTACATGGGTCCCTGGGCCTGGTCTCCTGTGCCACCCACACGAAGTCCCCAACATGCAGTTTGCGCACCATGTGGGTCACGTGCAGCCGCTGCAGCTGGCGGAGCAGCTCGGGCCTGTGCCCGGCCCTGGAATTGCGAGGTGGGAGGCTGAGGTCAGGGCAGGCCAGTGACAGCCCCCGGCACCCCCTCCCTCACTTCCCCCACCTCACTCACCCCTTGGCCTCGCCAACGTCCACACACAATAGCACCCTGTACTCTCCAGGCCTCAGCTCCAGCGGTGGCTGCTGGACACTGCCTTCACTGGCGCCGCTACAGGGAGGAGGGGGTTGTTGTGTGAGGCCAGAGCCTCAGTGCCAAGGCAGTTTCCCTCCAAACCCAGGGAAAGTGGTGCAGCCACAGCTCAGCTGTAGGCGATGGGGACAGAGGTGGGGTGTTGGCCTCATTTCTGGGTCTCCTCCTGCTTCCTTTTTCTTCCCATCCCCCCTCTCCCTCCCCCTTCCTCACAGCTCAGCTGAGGCCGATCCTGGCACTTCTGGCTCCTCCCCAGAGGGCTCCTCTGGCCCACTGCGCACATTCAGTGAGCTCAGGCCCTCTGACTCTGCCAACTTCTGGGCCAGCTCCAGACCCTGCGGGGTCAGTGAGTACCTGGTAGGCGGAGGAGACAAACACAGATCTCCCTTCTTCACTCGTACCTGGCAGGCTCTCCTGCCTGCTGCCGGCTAGCTGGTCTCACCGCGCCCTGGGCAACCTGTACAAATAAGTCCAGTGGCTTCCACCCCCAACACCCCAGGCTGTGTTCTTGCCCCTCAGATCAGCTTCCTCTGGACCTGCCCAGGGCCATTTCTCAAGTCAAGTCTGCAATGCACAGGTCTCAGACAGACTTTCCTTCCTCCCAACTTTGTTTATATTGTTCCCTCCTCCCTGGAATGCCTTCCCTGCATCTCTACCCTCTGAATTCTAAGACCTGTCAAATGCTATGTTCTCAGCAAAGCCTTTCTGCTTGTCCAGTAACCTGTGGCACTTCACCCTTCCTGCTTGGTCTCTCAGAC